GTCAAAATGCATACCTTCCAGGCCAAAGAAAAAAATAGTACAAGTAGACAAATAGAAAGAGTTCAGATACAGTCAGGTTCACATAAGAATAGTCAGCTGCTACAGTAAAGGAGAAGAGAGCTTAGAATATGTTACTCCAATAGGCAAAAGATAAATGCATCTATTCCGGCAAAAACTGAGTATAATGATGCAAAGAGTAAAATGAGATTGTGAAGAAATTAATTCCAAACATTCCTAATGAAATGGTAAGAAGTAAACAAAATCTTTGAACACAGGAATCAAAAGAAACAGAAAAAGGGAAATGTATTTCATCACTTGAAAAGGTCAATATGATGAATTGTTAATGGCTAGAGAAATCTGTTTCATACTAATGAAGTAAAATATTAGAATGGACAAGCAAAAAACTTAAGTAGAGGGGTAGCTAGATGGCACAGTAGATAGAGCACTAGCCCTGGATTCAGGAAGACCTGAGTTCAAATCTGACCTCAGACACTTGATATTTACTAGCTGTGTGACCCTGGCCAAGTCACTTTACCCCATTGTCTTGCCAAAAAGAGAGAGAGAGAGAGAGAGAGAGAGAGAGAGAGAGAGAGAAGAAACTTAAGTAGAATAGTTAAACATTCACATTTCACAAGTCCAAAAACAAAAGTTTGTCTTGTTTTAGGATTGTCTAACATATAGTTAGTATACTTGAATCCTAAATGCAGAAACTCTATATTGCTATTAGGAAGCTAGAAATCGAATAAGAAAAAATGTACATAAGATAGACAGTGCACTGTCAAAAGAACCTCTAGACTATACCAATTAAATTTATATTACTCTAAATAGAAAATGCTCTAGAATAAATTCTAACTAAAAGAGTGAAATACTAGAACAAGATAGTTAAGTAGACTAGAGTTAGACATTTAATATAAATAGTAAAACATACCAACCAAGAAATCTAATGATATCTACCAGTATCCAGGCTATTGGCATTAATAGAAAAACAGGAGAAAGTCTACCAAGAGAACTGGTTCATTGTCAGATCTATCTTTATTCAATAAAGTAAAGATACTTTAAGTTTTAAGTTCTAAAATATCACTACTTTAGGTAGAAATAGATCCATGTAGCTATTTAAAAGAATAGAAAACAAAATGTAGCAATCTAGAGGTTCTTTTCACAATGTTTTCCTCTAGCATGATTTATAAGCTACCTAACTTCCTAATAGCAGTATTGTGACTCAAATAGTCTAGCTAGAACCTTCTGCTAAGGCTAAGAACAATACAATGAATAATAATAATAAGAATAAGAATAAGAATAATAAGAATAATAATAATAACACCTAGAATTGATTTAGCACTTTAAGTACTGCAAAGTACTTTAATAATATTGTCTCACTTTATCCTCTCACCCACCATTGCAGACAGATATTATTATTGTTCCTATTTTACCTATGGGAAAACTAAGGTAGAGAAAGGTTAAGTGACTTGCCTAGGGTCACAGAGCTAATGAGTATCTGAGGCTAGATTTGAACTCAGATTCTCCTGACTCCAGGTTCACCGTTCTATCCACTACACCACCTAGTTGCCAGTGATTATTTAATTCTGCTCTACTTGATTGGAGATCTAATATTTGTTAGCAAAGAATAGATTCGTCCAGCTATGTAAAACCATACCGAACAATCTGGAATAATCCAGTTGGCCCATTTACAATGTATACTTCATAGTTTGTTTATGATTTCTAGTTAGCTACATAACTTGTAGAAATATTGGGTTCCTGCTGCTCAATATTCAGTAGTCTGACTGCTTGCTTCAATATTGCTCAAGAGGAATTCTGCTGAAGAAATTAGTAAAATGTCAGGTATAATTGTAATATCCTTAAGTATCTTATCCAAAGGTTCTAGTTGATCACAGCACTGGACAGAAATAGCTATTTAGAGTAATAGAAACATATTGGTGGAATTTAGAGGAAATTGTAATCTAACATCATTTCTTAACCATGTTTCTACATTTAGGATTCAAACATTCTAGCTGTATGTCTCAATATATTGATAACTTTCCAACAAAGATATTGCATTTTTGCAATATAGGATTCAAGTAATCTAACCATTCATCTTAATCCAGCATCCCAAGATACCTTCTGCTGGGACTAAGGTACCTTAGGTGCATACATGACTGCATTCTGCTTAAGGAAAATTTACAAACAAGGCTTTGCGGATTTTAAGATGTCACTCCAATGTTAAGTTGAACACTCTAACAGTAGATTAATTAGCTATGTAGAATTATACCAAACCAGATCAAATTGATCCACTTGCCACAGATACATCATAGGTGATACAGATCATTTCTAGTTAGCTATCAATCACAGTAGCCATAATTACTTATTGGTAATAAAAAAAAAAACCTACCAGTAGTAACATTGGCAGCATCTATTGAGTATCCAGTAAAACCAACTTGCATCTAGCAACTTACATCAATATGTCAAGAGAACTCTCGCCAGAGAAATGTACGCTGTCAGGGTCTAATCGTATTTTCCTGAAGTCACTTGTCTGTAGGCTCTACCATGGAGTGTACCAAAAGTCTTATTGTAGCTTTAAACTATTAAATATTATCATTATGTAACATTATTATTATAGTCAATAAAACTGCAGAGATTTTTTTTAGAATACTCTGTATACTATAGCCCAGAAATGAGAGACTGAAGAATACAGTTAGACTTTGACACTGTATGTTACTTTATAGAGAGTTTCTCTTGATGTATCAGTAACAAATAGCTACAATACTAGACACTCAGTAGGATGCCACTGATATTACTACTAGTAAGTTTTTATTTCTAGTAAGTAATCAATAGTAGAGTATCACTAGTAAGTAAACCAGTAGTTTTAAGTTACAAAAGCTTAAAAGTATACTATTATTTTTGAGACACCCTTGCTTTACATAGAAATAGATTCATCTAGCTATTTAGGTAAAAAATCAAATCGGTACAAACTGCATGTCCTATTGATGTTGCATTATCTCTAATACATAATTTCTTGTTAGTTATTTAGCTTCCTAATAATGAAATTAATTTTTTTTAATATCTGGGACTGGAATCTTCTAGCTACTTTCTCAATCTAACCTCAAGGAGATACTTCTTTAAATACCATTTTATCTTGGCATCCTGTTGAAAGGTGTTAATATTTCCTTCTTTTAACTAAAAATATTCATTCAGAGGTTCCCAAACTTATTTGACCTATCACTCCCTTTTAAAAAAAATTACTCATCACATCCTGGAAATCTGCCTTCTTTGATCCTTTAATAATTTTTTTTTAAATTTGTAGCATTTCAAAAAACTATAAAATATTTTCAAATGATGCATCTTAAATTTAATTTATTGTAAATATGTGTGCATGTGGGAGGGGAAGGTCCTGCATTGAAATTTCACGTAACCATGTACTATCATATTGTAAACAAGTCATTACACTCACATATTCCTGTCAATACATGCTGGACTTCCCAACAACGTGCAATACACTTGCCTGCCAACACTTGCTTGTTAAGATCTGTCAGTGGACATGACCACTGATCAGTTATAACTTGCATTTTGTGTGTTTATTTGGAAAATAATGTAATCACTTTGACTTTAACTCTGTTACACAACAGATGAAACGTAGACAAACGATTTTTCAAAATTTTCTTATCTTCTCTTTCTTTATGCTTCCACTGCCCCTTATTTTTATTCAATGCCCCCTCAGTTGCACCTGAGGCTACTACCACTCCCCTAGATTGGTCCAGTGCCACGCCCCTCAGGGGGAACCTAGCTGTTTTGATTAATAGAAAAAAAATGATACATTCTAGATATTCATTTAACAATGTAGTCTAACTTACCTATAGGGTTTGTTATTAACCTTCTAGCTTTCTAATAACAATGCTAGGTTTCTATACCTGAGATTCAGATATTCGCAGTCTATCAAACAAATTGGATTGTCAGTCGACTTACAGTATAGAGCTTCTCTTCACAATTTCCGCTTAGATTATAGCTTAGTTATAATTATATTGTAATCCTTTTACTATCTTGCATCACAGTTACTTACACCCACACAACATTACGAGAACGTCTAGTGAGGTAATATTACAATGTTATGGTTTAACTGTGTCCACTGTTCACAAATTAAGCAAACAAGCCACTTTTTCAAAGGAAAACTTTATTTTTGTTTTATGACCATAATGGGACTCAAATACCCCATTCACAGAGTACATTACAGCACATAATTTTTAAAAACTGTTCAGCACGATATGTACCCTTCAGAGAAAGACAAGAGCAGCTCATTTCAAAGAGACACTTAAATTTAAAGACAAAGACACTGATAACTCCAACTAATATCCTGTCTCAAACCTTCTTTGCAAATATTTCATTCAAAAAAAGACTATCAAATCATGAAACATGTTTTTGACTCAAAGAAAAGTTGTTCTGCGGACAGCTAGGTGCTGCAGTGGACTGGCCCTGGAGTCAGGAGGACCTGAGTTCAAATCCAGCCTCAGGTACTTGACACTCACTAGTTGTGTGACCCTAGGCAAGTCATTTAACCCCATTGCCAAAAGAAAAGAAAAGTTGTTCAACAGATTTTTTTTCCTCTCTTGGTCCATGGAACAAAAGTAATTTCTAAAAAGGAATTGTTAAAGAGGTACAAATAAGCTACAGCAGCAAGTTAGCTTTATGAGACCACTGTCGTCATCATCATCATCATCATCATCCCTAACCTTATTGGGCATGTAATCTGGACCTACTACTGTGATAGGCTCCACATAAACTTATGGTCCCAAACAACAATGGTAAGGACGATAATACCTTGCATTTGCAAAGTGCTTACTTTTTCAAGGGTCTTCACAACTGTTATCCCAATGATCAATCACAATGACACTGAGGCGGTCAGGGTAGTTTTACCCATTTGAGAACTGAGAAAACTGAAGTAAAGGCTAGCTTCATTATGATTATGTATCTAATTAGTGGCGTAGCTGGGATCTGATTCCCTCATCCTGTGATCCTTCTATTAGTACCATTTTGGGATCAGTCACATCTTGGCCATCCTTAGAATCTTAAAGCTGGCTCCTTTTAGTAACAGAGCTGTCATCACTACTGAAATCTCTTCCGAAAGTTGCTATAAATTTCCAGTTTAAAATTAGGACAACCAAGCATTGCAAAATACTACTTAGAATGGAGAGTCATTGTACATGAAATTATCAACAGAGGTACCTAGCAGGTGATCTCAGCTTTCAAATGTTCTAAATACTAGAAAGAAAGAAAAAATAGTTCTTATTTGAAACCATTGGTCACAACAACCATAATAATATCTTTGTTGTTCCCTGGATCCATTTTTCCTACTGTACAAATTTGCCCCAGTGAACCAAAAAGTCTAACTGAACTTTTGAGGAAGGCATAGCAGGCTGTCCATAATGTCAGTTACCCTTCAAGAGAAATATAAAAATTAAAAAATCTCTGGTCTTTTCCCATTAATCATTACATTTTAAGATCAAATTTGCTAGGGAAAGATAGAAAGAGATTGTCAGTCTAAAGTAGTAATACCCTCAAACAGCAACAGCCTCTATTTCTTTCTAAAAGACCTATCCTATTGGACATCTCATTCACTGCAGTTTTTCAAGGTAGTTTTTCCTTCCATGGCTCAGATTTCTGCGTCTTATGTCAGTCTGTGGCAGCAGGAGGCCAAGACAGTTGCAGTTTCTGTACCCTGGATTCATGTTCTCAGTTCCAAGCTGTATCTACCACCTATTAATAGAACTCCTTTGCACACACTGTAGCATAAGCTATGAAAGGCACTCTAGTTTCCTGTAACTATGGAAATGAGCTCTCTGAGCTCCCAGGAAATAAGTTGGCATCAAGCCACATTTGCAAAAGCCAAGAAGGGGAACTGGATCTACCTGTACTAAAGAAACTGAATTCATGGAGGAAATAAAACCAGTTGCTTACATAAGAACTTAAAGAGAAATTAACAATTGGAATTTACAAAAACAAAACTACCCTTTTATTTGTTTCATTGGTTGATTGAAAGTTGCAGTGATTGTGTGGCTCTCCAGAAACCCTAAGTTCTCTATGTCCACACATGACACAAAATGCCATAACTTAAGAGAATTAGTTCCAGATTCAACTCTCATCTTTCTGGCATAGTTTGTAGTCTGACAAAGATGACATTGTTTGGTACCAGGTTCGTTGTTTCATCTCCAGAGTCACCATTTATTGTTGCAACTGCTCCTGTCAGGTAGAGACAACACCTAGGAATAGTCCATCAGCTTAAAAGGAAATGAACATGGAAAAGGCCAGAACTGTTAGTTGAGGATGTTATGACCAAACGTTAGAGGGTGGTTGCTTCTCGTTGCATGTTGGCACGACATAGGCATTCTCCTCTTCAATAATGTAGGCATTTTCCTCCTCAACAATGTAGACATTATCTTCAATCGTGTAGACGTTGTCCTCTGCGCGGTTGCCATCTTCAGTGGCAGTTCTTACAACTTCATTTTTACTACTTGCCAAGAAAGTCAGACTACAGAAATAGAAAAGAAAATGATGAATAGGGATTTGATGTGACAAAGAAGTCATCTAAAATATCAGCCGCCTAAAACCCCAAGTTGAAAATTCCCTTTCAACTCAGAGCATTTAAAGGATACTAAAAGAGACTAATTGTTAGAAAGCAACCAGTCCACTTAGTTTTCCTGAACTAGCTTCCATTTTTTTTATTTCTTTTTGTTCTATATGGCTCCCTGGGTAAAGGAAAATAGAAGAATACATTTGGAAATTAAGATGATATTGCCAAGCAACTAGCCTCTCAATGAAAAAAATCCTTTTGTTATTGCACCTCATGAAACAACTACATAACGTTGCTATCCTGTGTGGCTCCTTCCACTTTGTGACAAAAGGGCAGAAAAAAAAGTGAAGGGTCCTAAAAATCAATTTTTAGGATATAAATTTTAATTTGATTTTTGATGCTCTAAATGTGAGACTGTTGGTCAATGATCATCACGTAAACATACTGTCAGAGGACTGAAAAATATCAGTCTTTATATTCTATCTAAAGGAAAAAGTAGAAGGGAGAAAGGTGCAGTTAAACATGACTGCTCACAAATACCTCCTTGTAGAAACAAACAAAGGAGTTGGCACAGTTGGTTATATATTTCCAAAAGCAAAAAGAAGCATTATTCCATGGGATATTTGGTCATTTCATTTTCTAGTCCTAACAAAAAGGAATAGACTCATAAATGGATGTGATAAAATAAGAAGTATTATTACATTTTTCAAAGATAAGCAGTTCAATAGAACATGTAGGAATACCTACTGTGGGCATCACCAGGTGCAGTACAAAAGGTCCTGGGGATACAAAGATTAAATGAAATAATACCTGCCCCCAAGAAGCTTATATTCTATTGGGAGAATGTTATACCAATAAAAATGTGGTGAGTTCATTTTGGGAAGGAAGAGGAAGTGCAAGATGAGTCCAAAAATATGTCCTCAACTCTCCCTAAAATTAATAAAAACAACCTTTTAAACACAGAAGCTGAATAGAAACAGAAGCATTGACAGCCATGGAGACTGTGCCTCACCCCCTACCCAAAAAAGTTAAACTCAAAACAGAAGCAAAAACAAAATCTTGATTAACCAGAAGGTACTTAAATTTAGTCTTTTAAGTGGGATTATAATGGCCCTGAAACTTATTTGTATCCACAAGGATGCAGCTTTAAGACACTAAAACCCTCCATGTGTGAGTAAAATCACCCACATGTGCCAATCCAGCAGGGAAGCCACTCCAAGAGAGCACCAGGTACAAATCCACCTAAACAGATCCCTATTTCTCCATTCAGCCAAATATCTTGAGTTGCAGCCACACAGCCAAGCTCATGCCTGCTCATTTGGGCTCTATGGAGACCTGGCTCTAAGCCATTCCAATTTGATCAACTATAGAGACCAGAGAATCTAATTCAATTTCTCACCCCATCACCAAGTGGGCTAAGAGATTCAATTATACTCCCTCTAGCAAACAGTAACTGCTTGGTTAATCCTGTGACAGTTCTGACAATGTTCCAGAGAAATGAAGAAGCCAGTGAAAATTACTAAAATAGGGGTGGGTAGGAGAAAAGGCATGCAGGGATGAGTTAGGATATTTACTCAGTAGGTGGGGGGGTGAACAGAAGGGAGGAGGAACAAGAAACACGATTGATATTCAATTTTCACTTAAGATACAACTGTCAGAAATAATTAAGAAGGAAAATGGGCTGTTCCACTTGTTCCAGAGGCAACTTTATATTGAGAGATATGAGTATGCAGAATAATGCCTGAGGCTTACCTTAGAGTTTGTGCATTCTTTCTGTTATAGAAATATCCTAAGTAGGAGGAACAGGAGGGGAAAGTAGGTGTCAAAATCCAAAAAGTGGAAAATTGAACATGTCAGCAAAGCATACAAAATAAGAGTTCAAGATGAAACCCTCATGGTATATCTTCCTACAATTGCATCAGGAGTCATTTGCATTTTGGACCTGGCTCTGTCACTAATGCCTTGAGTTGTCTCTCTAAGCTCCAGTACACTCATCTAAAAATTTAAAACATGGCATTAGAATGAGGAGTTCTTAACCTGGGGTCTATGAGCTTGTTTTGTTTATGTCGGCTTGTGGATTTGGTTTTTGGTTTTATTTCTATAACTTCATTTCAATGTAATTGACTTCCTTTGTAATTCTTTTGTATTTGCATTTTATTTTCTGAAAAGAATATTCTACCAAGGGATCCACAGGCTGTAAATTACCAAAGGAGTCTATGACACCAAAAAGATTAAGAAGCCTTTTTTGTATGTTTTCTTTAGCAACATTGCTAATATGGAAATGCTTTTCATTATTTTGCATGTATGTTGTTATTGCTGTTGTTCAGTTGTTTCAGTCATGTCTGACTCTTCGTGACCCCATTTTGGGGTTTTCTTGGCAAAGATACTGGAGTGGTTTGCCATTTTCTTCTCCAGACTTCCCATGAATGATGCTATCACATTGCTTGCCTTCTCCATGCGTGGGGGAAGGGCTGGAGGAAGGGAGAGAATTTGGAACTCAAAATTTTAAAAAATGAATGTTAAAAATCTTTGAAAGTATAACTGGGAAATATTTAGTGAAAATTTTTAAAATTTTAAAGAAGTCTTGTAGTAGATGATTTTTTAAAATCTTTTTTAATATTAACATCCCCTGATTGTAAGCTGCTTGAAAACAAGAACATGCCTTATACTCAGGATTGTGCTGGAAACAGTTGGAATGGACTGGAACCCCATTGTCAAACTTTCAATGTCAGCATTCATGGAATCAGCAAATGTTCTAAACAAGAACTTTCTTATTATTTTGTTGACTGTCTAAATGTAAAGTGTTAATAATGCAGAATAAAGAAAAAAATGTTTCAATCTGCACCCAGGAATCTATCAGTTCTCAAGCTAGAGGTGGATAATATTTTTCATTACGAGTCCTTTGGAACTGTCATAGATCATCGTATTGATCAAAGTAGCCAAATCTTTCACCATTGCTTATCATCATTTTGCCTCAGTTCATAGGAGTCTCCCCGTGTTTTTCCCAAGCAATTCCCTGCATCATTTTTTATATTATAGTAGTATTTCAACACAGTCATATACCATAACTCGTTCAGCCATTCCCCAATTGATAAGCATCCTTCAGTTTCCAGTTCTTTGCCACCACAAAAAGAGCTGCTATAAATATTTTTGTACCTATGAGTCCTTTTCCTATTTCTTAAAAAATCTCTTTAGGGTATTGACCTAGTAGCAGTATGCCCTTTGAGCATAGTTCCATATTGTTCTCCAGAATGATTGGACTGGTTCATAACTCCACCAACAGTGCATTAATGTACCTATTTTCCCACATCCCCTCCAACATTTGTTATTTCCTTTTGTGTCATCTTAGCCAATCTCTTAGGTATGAAGTGGTACCTCAGAGATGTTTTCATTTTTATTTCTCTAATTATTAGTGATTAAGAGCATTTTTATATGATTATTAATAGCTTTGATTTCTTCTACTAAAAACTGCCTGTTCAAATTCTTTAACCAATTATTAATTGGAGAATGACTATTATTTTTATGAATTTGTTTCAGTTCCCTATATATTTGAGAAATGAGACCTTTATCAGATAAATTCACCATACTTTTTCTCCAGTTCTGTTTTTCTCCTAATTTTGGCTGCATTGGTTTTGTTTGTGCAAAAAACTTTTTTTTAATTTAATGTAATCAAAATTATCCATTTTATCTCTTATGAATCCCTCTTTCTCTTGTTTGGTAAGGAATTCTTCCCCTCTCTGTATATTTGTCAAGCTTTTTTTTTTTTGGTGCTCATCTAATTTGCATATATCACCTTTCACATCTAAATCATGTACCCACTTTGAGCTTACCTTTGTATATGCTGTGAGATGTTGGTCTAGGTCTAGTTTCTGCATAATTATTTTCCTGTTTTCTCAGCAGTTTGTGTCAAATAGTGACATGGGATCTTTAAGTTTATCAAATACTACATTACCATGCTCACTTCATTCTGTATGTTGTGTACCTAATCTAGTCCATTGATCAACCACTCTATTTCCTTTCTAGTATGAAATTGTTTCATTATTATCACTTTGTAGCATAGTTTCAAACCTGGTACTGTAGCTATACCCCTTTCAATAGATAGATAGATAGATATAGATATAGATAGATAGATGTAGATATAGATAGATAGATAGATATAGAGGGATAGATAGATATAGATATGTGGATATAGATAGATAGATAGATAGATAGACTGATTCCTTTGATATTCTTGAACTTTTGTTCCTCCAAATGAATTTTGTTAATTTTTTCTAGCTCTATAAAGTAATTCTTTGGCAGTTTGACTGGTATGGCACTGGATAAATAAATTAATTTAGGTAATATTGTCATCATTATTATGTTGGATCGGCCTACACACAAGCAATTAATATTTCTTCAATTATTTAGGTCTGGTTTTGTGTGAAAAGTATTTTATAATCGTGTTCATATATTTCCTATGTGTGTCTTTGCAGGTAAACTCGCAAGTATTTTCTACTGTCTGCAGTTGTTTTAAATGGAATTTCTCCTTCCATCCCCTACTTCTGGGTTTTCTTGTTAATATATAGAAATGCTGATGATTTGTGTGAGTTTATCTTATATAGTTAGATAAAGTTAATTGTTTCAATTTTATTTTATTTTATTTTATTTTAGTTGAGCAAAAGTGATAGTTTTGTTTCCTTATAGCCTATATTTATTTATTCCTTTAATTTATTATTGCTATAGCTAGTACAATATTGAATTATAATAGTGATAGTGGACACCTTTGCTTTATTCCTAATCTTATTGGTAAGTCTTCTAGTTTATCCCCTTTTCAGATGATTCTTGCTCTTAGTTTTAGATAATTATTATTTATTATTTTAACAAAAGCTCCATTTATTCCTACACTTTCTCAGTGTTTTGAATAGGAATGGGTATTATATTTTGTCAAGTTTCTAATGTATCTTTTTACATGGTTTTGTGATTTTTGATATTTTTGTTATTTTCCTCATACTGACCTAGTAATCCATTCCTGGTATTAATCCAACCTGAGTCATTGTGCATAACCTCTGTGCACTTTTCCCCATTGCTAATGCCGCTGTGGCCACAACTCACAGCTGGTGTTGCTTCTGTAGCATCATGCCCCAACCCCAGTATTCACAGGCTTCTTTTTCTGTCTTCCTAAGCTGTGACTTTTTCTTTGCTTTCCCTGCTCAGAATTCTCTTTTTTGTGGTCATTTTGTAGAAGAAATTTTGGGAGAAGTTTAGCAGCTGTGACCTTTCACTCTACCATCTTGACTCTACCCCCATACAAGAAGTTAATTATAAAATTGGAAACAAAATTAATAGCATAATAAGGTACAGTATTATCATTGTTCTTCAAATAATTGGGTTGATCCCTCCAATTTTCAGTTAATGGCTACGACCAGTCTCTAAATTTGATGCCACAACAGTAATTCTATCAGAAGTTTTACACCAAACTTACAAAGAGTCATCTAAAAGTAGAAGACACCATGTGGCTTGATATAGTCCGTGATATAAATTCAAAGTCTTTTATTCTTCCAATCAGCTATCCTTCTAGGAATTAAAGGTTTTTCAGAGCACATCATTGTGAAGAATTTGGAAATGACTTACGTTTCAAAACAAAGACAAGTAAAATCAGAATGAGAAGCACCCCAATGAAGATACCAACTCCAATGTATATTTCCTTATTAGTGGTCACCAACTGGTCATATAGGATGACCTATGAGATACAAAGATTAAAAAAAATTAAGGTATTGGTGAAACATCTAGAAAATATTGCTTAGGATAATTATTAATTGTGTATTGGAATTGTTTGATCTCATATTCCCAAATCTGTAAAATAAGTGGGGATAGGGAAAACAAGATTTTTCTCTAATATTATTCCAAATCCAAAATTCTAGTTCATAAATGTGAAATTTATAAACCTCATGTCTGCTAAGTTATTTCTAAGAAGACATTCATCAAATTCCAACAGTTGTCAAATACATATTATGGGCAAGGCTGGACACTATTGGATTAGGGGTAACTAGCAATATTAACTCATTTGCCAAGGGAGGGACTCAACACCAAGAGTTAAAGTTATGTAAACAAGTGAAATTGGCATACAAGGAGACTGGATGGGAATTAGAAACAAAATCAATGGCCTTATTAAAAGCATGCTTAAAGTATTGCTCTTTTTAAGAATTGGACTGACTCACCCAATAACCAAAGCTGATTATCACTGCAAAAAGTCACACCAAATTTCCCAAGGTTAGTCCACTTTCTCTCTTGTGATGCCATAGGAATGTGGGATATAGTAGACATTTTTTTTAAAATTTTACATATTCATTGATCATGAAGATAAATAAGACAAAGGTCCCTTTCCTTAAAGAGCTTACAATCTAGGATGGCTGTTGTTTAGTCATTCAGTTGTGTCCAATTCTTTGTGACCCCATGAACCATAGCACACCAGACCCTTCTCTCCTCTACTATCTCTTGAAGGCTGTCCAAGTTCATGTTCATTGTTTCCATGACACTATCTATCCATCTATTCCTCTACTATACACTTTTCCTTTTGCCTTCAATCCTTCCCAATATCAGAGTCTTTTCAAATGAGCCCTGTCTTCTCATTATATGGCCAAAATATCTAAGGTTAAGCTTCAGTATTTGACCTTCTAGTGAATACCCTGAAGTAATTTCTTTAAGTATTGACTGATTTGATCTCCTCACTGTCCAAAGGAATTTTCAAAAGTCTTCTCCAGTATAATTCAAAAGTGTAAATTCTGTGGTACTCAGCTTTCCTTACGGCCATACATTGCTACTGCAAAAATCATGGTTTTGACTCTATGGACATTTTCAGCAAGGTGATGTCTCTGCTTTTTAGTATGCTTTCCAGATTTGCTAGAGCTTTCCTTCCAAGGAGCAAGTGTCTTTCAGTTTCATAGCTGCTGTCACCATCTGCAGTGATCTTTGAGCCCAAGAATGTAAAACCTGACACTGCTTTGACTTCTTCTCCTTCTATTTGCCAGGAAGTGATGGGACCAGTTTCCAAGACCTTATATACACAAATAAATAATACTGAGTCGGTGGGGAAAAGGAGAGGATAACAAGCATTTATACTATGCCTACTATGTGCCAGGCTAAGTGCTTTACAGTATATTAGAGAGGCGCAAGCAAAGTGTTGGGAGAGTTCAAAAGAGAGAGAGATCACTTCTGCCTGGGAGTCAGATACAATGGGAATTAGGAAAGACTACATGGAAGAAATAGCATTTTGACTGGACCTAAAAGGATGGCAAGGATTTCAACTAATGGAGATATAGCAGGAGCTGAGTAAAAGGGAGATACACTAGAAATAAGGAATGACATGACAAGAACAGAGGCACATGTGCAGAAAAGTGCTGAAAATGCTCAAAAGAGGTCTACGAGGCCAGTCTTTCTGGAATACAAGTCAGAAAAAGAAAATAGTAGGAGATAAGACTGGAAAGCAGAATCAGATTGTGAAGGATCTTGGGTACAAAGCTAAGCTTTGATAGTGGGGGAGAAATATGCCCACATAGTGTTAAAAGTGTGTGTGTGTATTTATGTTGCTATTTGTGGTAGTATTATTATTGCACTGTGAAGGACATTTCCTATTTTCTCTGGAGTGTGCATGGCACTTTTCTTGAAAATATTTCACAATAGCCTTATAAATCATTAATTTCTCAATGCTCACAGTTACCATTTAAGAGTGTGTGTTAATTGTGTTTTTCCTAAAATAATTGGTGCATTTCCAAAAGATGAGGGTTTAACACTTGGGGGTTGGGGTTACCACACAAGGTGGCAAATCTATTTGCATGAATGACTACAAAGTACTTGGTTTCAAGGATTCTGCTAATCTGGAGTTTTATCTGGAAATAGCAAAGAAAGATTGCATCCATTAGGACTTTTCACAGAAACACAGAGCTGGATGGGACCTCAAAGAGTCTAAATCATCACTTCCCAATCAAGGTGCTCTCATTTTTCTACCTATGTTCCTGCAACATCCTGCAGTTCTTTACTCCTTTTTCCCAATTTCTGATGAAAGAAATGGAATGTAGAAGTTGTGATGAGCATTGCTAAGAAAAGAAAGGAATGGGGGCAGCTAGGTGGTGTAGTAGATAGAGCACCAGCCCTTGAGTCAGAAAGACCTGAGTTTAAAACTGGCCCCAGACATTTGACTTTTTACTAGCTGTATGACCTTGGGCAATTCACTTAACCCCATTGCCCAGCACCCCCCCCAAAAAAAAAAGAGAGAGAAAGAAAAGAAAAGAGAAGAGGTCTCAGCAGAGAAGAAAAGGACAAGTGTTACAGAATGAGACAGATATTTTCAGACATAGCCAACATGGGAATTTCTTTTATATGATCATACTTGTTTGTTACAAGGGAGGATTCTTTTGGGAGGGGGAGGAGGAACTGTTAGAGAATGATGTTAATACTAAAAAGAATCATTAAAAAAATAAACAGAAAAGAGAATAAACTTCAGAACAAAACACAAACAAGCAGAACAGTGTTAAAAACTACCATGTTGAATTTGAAATATGTATTTAAAAAGCTATACATAGTACATAGACCTCCTGTCCTTTTGTAGAGGGGAATGTTGTATTTGCTGATGTTTATCACATTTATAATAATTTAAAATATGTTTTTTAAAAGAAAAAGTTCACGACCAGGGTGTGTAATTGTGTGTGCATACACACTTAAACAGGCATTTGTAGTCATCTATCAGGCCTTGTGAATGACACAGAGTGGTACAGTAGAGAGTCTGGAATTGGAGGCACTGAGTTCAAATTCTGCCTGTCACCTGTGTGACTTTGGGCAAGTCATATAATGTCTCTGGGCCTTAGTTTCTTCATCTATAAAAGGAGTTCGGATTAGATGTCTTCTAAGGTCCTTTCTAGCTCTATATCTATGATTTCATGAACCAAAAAATTACGAATCTTTTTGCCTCTTTAAATAAAGTATACAAGATAATAATTTAACCTATTCTTGATGATTCAAGGCCATCATTGCACATTATTGATTAGTAATTATGTAGATGATTTATTCTTATAATAGACTGAAATTTTTGAGGAGAGGGCCTATGTCTTTTCTAAACTCTACCTAGCTAGTCCCTAGAACAGAGCTCTGCACATAGTAGGGATTTAATATATGTTTGTTGAATTTAATTGTTGTAGGTTAATTTCTGGATACATCTCCACTAATCCCATCAGAATAGGAGGAAAGAGGCATAGTCTATTTAGAACTCATGACCTTGATGGTAAACACTTAAAATTCAGTCCTATTCATGAAGCTTACCACTTGTTACCCTCAAAACACTTTTATTATAACATTTTAGGTGAAAATCTGTGTTATCTATTTCCCTGCCTTTTAAAACATTCTAAACACAATTTAACTTTTAGTGAGTATAGGTTATCCTTATAAGTATCAATTATTAGACAGTAATGCAGTGGTCTCAGGGCTTACTTATTAAGATGTGTCCCTACATTTGTCCCTACACTAAATACTCCCATACTGTTAGGCTTCTTGAATTCTTTTATCTGCTTTTTTGTAGTTTTTTTGTCTTGTCACCATCAACTATCATACTGTTTCTCTGTCCCTTAGTAATGCACTCAGCCTCCTAAATTCCTGTTTCCAGTTTGATAAAAGCTGGGAAACCTGAAAACCATGCTTTTTGCTGTTGTTTTTAAGTCATTTCAGTTGTGTTCAACTCTTAGTGTCCCCATTTAGAGTTTTCCCCACAAAGATACCGGAGTATTATGCCATTTGCTTCCCCAACTCATTTTTTAAATGAGCGAACTGAGGCAAACAGGGTTAAGTGACTTGTCCAGGATCACAGAGCTAGTGTATGAGTCCAGATTTGAACTCAGGTCTACCTGACTCCAGGCCTGGCACTCTATCCACTGCACCACCTTGCTGCCCTAAACCATGCTAAGTAGAATTAAATGAAAAATAAAAAGTAAAGATGAGTTGTAGGTAAAGGACTGAGAGGTTTCTCTTACAAGCTTATGAGTAAAGTGTGTGAGCTTTAACGTAGAGGCTTTACTCACTACTCTGTGACTTTTGTTTCACTCTTTCTGAACTCCTAGCTATTTTCTGGTAGCTAATGCAATCAGATGAGAGAATACTGGGGGCATTAGGAGAGATTCAAATTCTTGTATGCCTTGGAAAATAAATGTGTCAAAAGGCTAAGAAAGATAAATCTAAAGAACTACGAACTGACGAGCACTAAAACAACTTGATCTTCCAAATTCCCAAGAGTGTCCTCAAAAATTAGTACTTTTCCAGTGAGGCTCATTGTCACTATGAGCCATGAGGATGTTACTAAATGAACTGCTTCTTCAGGAACCATCCCCTGTACTCAATTTATCTGTAGGGAATCCTCTAGGTACAGGAGAAACAGATTGATAATTGTGGTTAGGAGGTGAGGGGAACTATTTACCTACCGTTTTGTTTTCATACTGGTAGCCTTCTGAAATCCCTGTCACTGTATCATTTGCTCCTTAAAGAGAGGAAACACCAATTAGATTAGCTAAGAATGCTTGGCTTTCTACTAACAGACTCTGAGTAACTGGAAAGAAAAGAAAGAAGCATAACTCTGTTGATGAATACAGAGTAGAATACATGACCATAAAATTAGGTCAAATGCTAGTCACACTTGACTTAGACACTTATGTATTTAACCTTTAAGATAACCACAATTTTCACATCAACCAAAAAGCTATCAACAGCACTCCAGGGGAAAACTGCCAAGAGCATATGCAAAGCACAGAATAATGCAACTCAGAATGAATATTATTCAGCTTAGATTTATTAGTGTGAATAAAAGATGTCCCCAAATTGGACTATAACTCTTAAATTAAATCTCTTTGAAAAGAAATAGGTTATATTACTAAAAGTAGAGTGATGACCTTAGACAAGTTACTTAATTCCTCTAAAACTGTTCTCTTCTATAAAATAAGGGTAATAATAATGCTCATCTTACAAAGTTGTTGTAAAAAAAAAGTTTTTAAAAGGTAAGCTATCTGTATTTTTATACTGGACCTTATTGAATCTCATTCCTCTGCCTTATTCTATCATACTCCATTTTAAAATGAATAATACTCACATTTATATAACAATGGTGACTATGGGGCAGGAGTCACTTCATTCATTTAAAAGTGATTTTCTGTATAATTTGTTATTCAAATCAAGGAAAAAGCCTCCATCCTACATAAGATTTCCAGGCAATGAAAGTATCACTAAACCAACAATAAAAGTATTTAACCAAGACATAAAGCAATGTAAATGGCAGGGGTAAATCAAATAATAAAATAACTCCCAAAGGAAATGTAATCTTAATTTCATATTCATCTACACTACTTCCACTAGAATATGTGGAGAGAGACATAATCTATTTAGAACTCATGACTCAGATGATAAAAACTTAAAAATTTGGTCCCTTCTTACTCATAAAGCTGATTATCTTTGGGAGCAGGCTAGAGATCTGTGAAGACTCTTGCTTTGATTCAAGGTTCATTAGGATTTTGCCAGGGGTCCTGGATCCAGAGATGCCATGTGTTTTTCCTTCTGTCTCTCCACTCCCAACTGCAGCCTGCCATTTGTTTCTTCAATCTGCTTGTTCCTATTTTTCTCACTTCTATCCCATCACCATATGGCTCCCTGCTTGCAGCTGCTCAAGAATGCCCCCAAACCCCCCTTCTCCATGCAGTCTCCATCTATTTTCTTTCTTTTCCATGTTGAAGTTACATCCAGGCACAAGGTTACAAAAGAATCTGACTTCCTGAAGCTTTCTCCAATGAACAGAATTTCCCTTCCTTTGTCTCCCATGGTAGCTTGCCTTTGTTACACTTTAAAGTTGACAAAGAACCTTCTTCTTAACAACTTTGGGTGTAGATAGTGTAGCTATTATTAACTCCATTTTACAAATCAGAAAATTGAGGCTTAGACAAGGAAAGTACCCTAAAAGTAGATCACCTAGCTAATAAGTGTCATAACTGGGAACCAAATTAATCTCTTAACTGTCAAGGAAGTTATCCTTCCTCAATGCTATACTTCCAGAAAAATAAAGATCTCATATCTTCCAGGGCCCATGGCTTCTAAGTTTCCTCCTTCTAGCTCTGAATACAATGATGATAGCTATATAAATCAGATAATAGAGTAGGCGTTCACTTTATCTCCAAGACATTATTGTGGAAAATTCACAGATCTGCAAATTAGCCCATGATTTCAAAATGTAAGTTGTACACATCACCCTTAAGTGAAGAAAGGGCATTATGATTCTAAACACAACCCCAACTTTAGTAGCCTCTCCCACAGAGCCTGGATACTGTTACTTTATCTTTAAGAAAGAATGGAATAGCTGTGTGACCCTGGGCAAGTCATTTAATCCCAATTGCCTAAAAAAAAAAAAGAATGGAATCTTAGACACTCATAAAACTGTAATTCTGTAGTTACCTATCTTGGCTAGAGAGAGATGAATGAGGCAAAGAGATGAAGAGAATGTTAGAGAGATTTAGGCTTGCCATCCTAAGAAAGGTGAATGAAGAGACATTGTTTCCAGAATTGAGAAGTCAGCAATGGTTAGGTGACTATAAGTGTAATCTTCCTCAGAGTTGATATATTGCTAATAATTATTGTTGTATTATTGTGTTACACTGTTAACAAATTGTAAGAATAGAAACTTGAGGTTTAGGAAAATTAGAGAGGAAATTAGAGTTTGAAAAAAGAAATGAGCAAAAACTTATTGGAAAAGAGGTTTCACTCGTTTATTTAACAAACTCTTGTGGGGGCTCAATGCTAATTGATTAATGAGGTGTTGCAATTTTGGAAATTTATCAGGAAATTTCAGAACATATCCCTTGATTGCTTGGAACCCAAGATGAGAGAACTAATAAGGTAGCATATCAAATAACAGGTAAAGAGAGATGAGGATCCTCCCTATGTTAAATAGGAGTCATAGCCTCTTCCACCTCACTAACACAGAAAATCCCCTTCTCACGCCTCAAGTATCTGTCTTTTAAATGGTTCTAATACAACCGACACAGAGGCAAACCATAACCACTCTTTAAATGAATGGTTGGCCTTCAAGAGTTTCAGTGGCCAAAAAAAACCCCATTACTCTGTGGCCGACATAGTAGAAGATCTCTGACCTGTACCAGGCTGGTCATTGATGACAGACTCACAGTCCTTCACTGGGCTCGTGCACAAAGCTTTTCCAGTTTCGTAGGACCTACCAGAGGTTGAGCTCTGTTGGCACACATAGCTTTCAAGAACCCAGTGTCACAACCCACATCACAAACAACTATCGGGGAAGACTTTAGTGGAAGAGGAAATTCTCTAACTATAGAAAATGTGATGTTAATTCAGCACAAACAAAACTGCTAACCAAATAAAAGTCCCATTTCAGTTCCTTATGACTATCTCCTAGTCTAAGTTTCTACCTGTCTTGTGCCTAGTGTTCCACGGAATTGAATGAAAACTTGAATGCTAGAATCTGGGGCTACTTCTAATTCTTCCATTACCAAATTCTCTGACTTTCCATCACACTGGCCAGTTTCTTCCTGCATAGAGTGAAAGGGTTAGACCAGACGATCTCTAAGGTCTCTTGTAGTCTGGTTTTATAGTCAATTGAGGCACCGTTTAGTAAGAACTTGTCCTTGAGCCATTGAGTATAATAAACAGTCATTCAAAATACAACATCTGTTTTAGAGAGAGCATGGCCCAGTAGAAATGACACTAGTTTGGAAGTCAAAGAACCTGGACTCAGATCTCAGCTATGACCTTTGTAACAGAGGCAACCTCTGTGGGCTTTCATGTCTTCTATAAAATGAAAAGGTTGGACTACGTGGCCTTCTAGCTTTAAATCGATAAATTCTTAACTTTTTAATTTTTTTTCTGACAGATTTTAGAGAATGATGTCCACCCTCTTCTCCTTACCCTATGTTTGTCTTATCAACAACATCAAATTCTTTTTTTTCTTTTGGAGACAATTGGGGTTAAGTGACTTGCCCAGGGTCACATAGCTAATAAGTGTCCAGTGTCTGAAGTCATATTTGAACTCAGGTCCTCCTGACTCCAGGGCTGGTGCTCTGTCTACTGCACCACCTACTTACCCCTAACAACATTGAATTTGAAGGGCTACCATTGCTTTCTACACTATTGTTTAATTCATTTCCACATGGCTATTTTGTACTCATGTCAAGAGGAATTTCCAAAGGTTCAGACTTCCAAAACAAAATACCATTTCAATTGCTTTGGGTGAAGAAAGTCCTGTAGGTTTTTCGTTTAAGGTCCTTTTAACTAAACAGAGATGGGTAGAATGGTGTAAAAGATAGAGCCGATTCCCAATCCTAGACAACCTGAGTTTATACCACATTCTGGCTGTGAAACTCTAGCCTCAACTTCATCTCTTAGTGTTCTTGACAACTGCCTAAGCCTACAAGCTGCAGAGATTTGTTGTTGTTGTTGTTTAATCGTATCCTACTCTTCAGGATCCCATTTGGGGTTGTCTTGGCAGAGATACTGAAGTGGTTTACCATTCCTTCTCCAGTTCATTTTATAGATGAGAAAACTGAGGCAAACAGGATTAAGTGACTTGTCCAGGGTCACCTAGCTAGCAAGTGCCTGAGGCCAGATTTGAATTCAAGATATGAGTCTTCGCAACTATATATATAAGCCCAGCACTCTATCCCCTGCACCACCTAGCTACCTGAAGAAAAGATACCAACTTATATTTCTAGGAGCTTCCTCACCAAGGAATTCCCTGTAACTAGAGTGGGCACCATATAAATATGTGTTCCCTTCCCTTCCTATAACAGTGAAATCGTAGTTTCAGTCCCTATCCCTTTAATTCGGATTGTTTCCCAGGAAGGATGGGATCCCAGGCATATTTGCTAAGATACCACAAGACTTCTTTTCCTCGTACAACTTAGTAACCCTAGCATGCAAGAAATCTTACATACATGTAGACCATACAGTCACTACACTTTGCATAGATACAACATAAATGGAAGGACATGCAAATTTAGGATACATGACAAAACTTTCAAATGTGTTATCTACTTCAGGACAATTCATAAAACTCATGTGAATGGAATCATACTAATCACCCACCTATATGTACCTGCATATGGACAGTTGAGTTCTGCATATGTATTCAGGCTGTACCGAGGGTTTATCTTGTTTTATGTGAATAACATGAGGGGAGAAATCATTACCAATTGGAATATCAGGCTGTGTCCAGCTTTTTCCATCTGATGTTTCTGAAGGTCTGGTTGCTGTCACTATGTCCAAAACGGGAGTGGAAGAAACTACCAGAACAAAAGAAACAGATAGTCTGTCAGGGAACACTGCTATGGCCCTAGGAATGTCTCCCAAATTTATCTTCCCTGTCTTTTCCATTTTCCCCAAAGTCACTAGTACTTGTCTTCCCCACCCTGTACTCTCCATCATCCAGGAAATTATGACCTGTTTCTCTACAACTTCCAACCTCCTCTTTCAGCTTCACATGTTCTGTTAACCAGCACACACTCTGCTGTTTCTTTTTCTTAGGCTACCTCTTTCCTGCCTCCCCTCAAAAAGGCCATCTCTTTCTGGGCTCGGCCAGGAAGGTCTTCCTTGATAACTTTTTCCTGTGTCATGCTCAGGTGTGATTTTTTCCCTTCTGACATGAACTGCCAGTCTATGGTCTCCAAGGCCCAAGAGCAGGGTTCAGATCAACATCCTCCTCCTTTCTCTATTCCTTTTTAAGTCATGCACTGATTCCCACCCTCCCTTTCCCCCCCCAACCCCTTTTCAAATTCAATTTCCCCAGCTCCTCTTCTTCCAGGAGCTTCTTCAGGTCGCAAGTGACAACCGTATTTGTGGGCCTGGTCTTTCTACCACTCTCAAGAAACTTTCTTTGTTGACCCTGACACTGTAAAGTTAAAAGGGACCTCCAAGGCCATCCACTCCAGATCCCTTATTTTAGGGATATGAAAATAGAGGCCCAGAAAGGTCAAGTGATTTGCCTAGGGGTACGCAGGAAGGCAGAAGCAAAATAAGGATTTGAACCTCAATCCTCTAAGGGAAAGAGGGTATAAACACTTGCTATGTGCCAAGCGCTGTGCTAAATGCTTTATAAATGGTATCTCATCAACCCCAAGAATCAGTGTTCTTTGCACTGTCCTATGTGCCCTCCTCTTCTTCCTCTTTACCCCTGGGAGAATTCAACTTCAGTGAGTTCTTTATGCAACTTTCTTTTCCTACTCTAGGTATTACTTCCCTTTAGACTTCTCTAATTTGCCTTCTCCTCCACCCCTAATCTTTCTTCTTTATGGCTCTTTCCTTGCCACCCTTCACATTACTATTCCCTTCTCTGTAGCCTGGCATGTCTTGGCTTTCACTTTGATTGGCTCCCTTCACTCTAAGTTTGATTAATTTCTCTTTCATCATGTGGAAGTATATTAAAAACCTCCTTTTTAGTTCAACTGGAAATATCAGAAAATAATATTTTTCTTTTCTAATTGACCTTTCTATAGTTGTACCAAAAAAGGTGGGGAGGTGTTTATGAGGAAATGGAAATGGATCAAGAGTGGAAACTCAAGTTCCAACAGAGAGGTCTTCCAGTCCATCTTCTTTTGGTAAAGTCCATTCCCAGCACAGAGGGATGGACCAAGGAAACACAAAAAAAATGGCCTTTATTCATTCAAAAGAAAGAGCCTTCCTCTATTATTCAGAAGTGACATTGATCACAGGGAAGAGACCCTTTGAATCCCTGAGGATAGTGGTCCCGGAAGAAACAGAAAGTGACTACAATTTTGGAATGTTAACCAGCTCAGTCACACAAACAACAGGCATTTATTTAGCACGTAGGTGCCAGGAACCTATTTAAGGCCTGAGGACACAAAAGCAAAGCAAAACACCAGACTTCACCCAGAAACGGTCTCAGCCTAAGGGAGGATGCGACCGACAGTAGAAGCAAGATAAATATGGGATATATTGGAGATAATTGACCGAGGGAAGGTACTAGCAATCGGGGGATGAGAAAAGGCTTCTTTAAATGGAATTTTAGCTAGGACTAGAAGGAAGCCAGAGAAGCCAAGAGGCAGAGATGTTAAAACTATTTCAACATATTATTATGATCTTTTCCTTGTTCAGGATTCCTGTGAGTGTTACCTCAAATTGTCTTGGGAGAGAATGACGTGTCAGAGGACACAGGGGAACTATGCCAGTTTGGACATCTTTCACTAAGCTAGAAATGGCTTGGACAATTAGATTAATATTTTTATTTCTGGAAGATTTATACCTAAAATAGATAGCAGGGCATTATAGTTTTCTTCCCTCTGCTATTCCCCTGAAGTAAGTCCTAACCAAATGACAACTTGTTTTGATTTGAGATGCTCCATCTAGAGGGACTTCAGAACTATGGTCGCTCTTTGGAAACCCCTTATAGAGAAATCACATTTTTAATCAATTTCCAACCTACTTCATTCCATTTCAAATCTCAATTGCACTAGGCTGTATGCGGTGCCTGTACAGAAAATCTTTCTCTCACCAAAAATCTCCTAACCTTAGAAACATGGGGACATTACCTGAGTTTTGGTCCTTGGTAGTCATCAATATTGGATGAGTACAAGCGGAGGATATTAGGGTTGTCAGCACTGGGTGAGTGGAAGCGAAGGTTGTTAGAGCAGTAACAGTACTGGCTAGTGTTAGAATAAACATTAAAGACAAGAATTAATTAAGCCACAGCCTGCTTCAGCTGCCTTCTATTGGGAGGCAGCTTTTCCTAAAGCAATGAAAACTGGAAACTCAGCACAAGGCTCTGGTTTCAACGGCCAATTCACGACTTTGCAAAAGATTTCTTGATCTCTTAGTTCCTTCCCCACTTTATGTGTCAGGGGGTTCTTCCCTCTCTTTCTTGTGCCTACAACAATCGCACATCTGTCCAAGCACCTTCTTCCTCTAACAAATCTCAGCTCCAAGCTCACTTCCTCCAGGAACTCCATCAAAGCAAGTAAGGATCACTTATCTTCCCTCTCATCTTCAAAGAATGACAGTGACTTCTCTAAATTCTACATTAAATTGCATGTAATATATAAATAAGTAAATACTGAGAAGTCTGGCCACCATTATTAGAGAAATCAGTAAACCTTCTACTGTGCTCAGATCTCTGGTTCATAGCCATGTTAAAAAAAATTCTAATTCATAATTCTATAAACCAAATTGAGAGGAAGCATATCATGTTGGATTGAAGCTTGGAGTAAGGGAGATCTGGCTTAAAGTCTTGTCTCTGACTCATACTAGATGTATATAATCTTGGGCAAGTCACTTTCAGTGCCCCTAGGCAACTCTGTAAAAGAAGATCTTGACCATTTTGGTATCACGGACCTCACACAAACACTTTGGCTGTCTGAAGAAGCCTATGGACACAATAGCAGAATAATGTTTTTAAATGCACAAAATAACATTTCCTTCTTCAACTCAGTTAACAGATGAGGAACTGAAGCAAACAGCGTTAAGTGACTTGCCCAGAGTCACACAGCTAGTAAGCATCTGACATTAGATTTGAACTCAGGAATATGAGTCTTCCAATCAAGGAAACTATATAGAAACATATCTACATACATATGTATGTATGTATATGTATGTATGTATATACAAACATACATGTATACATATGTACATACACAAATATACGCATATATACATGTATATTACACACATATACATATATATGTATATATACATATATGTGTGTATATATATGTATATATATATATATATATACATATATACACACATATATGTATATGTATATATATATTTCCCATTCAAATTCATGGACAAACTGAAATCTCTCCACAGACACCTTGGAGTTCCATAGACCCTAAAAGAAGAATACTTTCTCTAATTTGCAACAGTGCAAAGAAATCACAGATGTAGGCCAATACTAAGAAGCCAAGACATAGAGGGAAACAATGAACTCTAAGGGTAGATTTAGGCATTTTTTTTTACTTTATTTTTCTTGGTTTTCTGTATATGTCTTCTTTTACCACATAGCTAATATGGAAATGTTTTGCATGACTTTATATGTATAATCAATATTATATTGCTTACCTTCTCAAGGAGTGGGGGAGAGGTGGAAGGGAGAGATAATTCGGAACACAAAATTTTTAAAAATAAATGATAAAAATGTACATGTTATTGGGAAATAGATAAATAAATAAATAAAAATATGTTTTTAAAGAAGCCAAGACATTACCTAAATTCCTCTTTCTGAATCTCAAAAAAACTTTTTTTATCTTGAATTTAAAACACCAAAAAAAGAGAGAACTTCTGTAGATACACAGTGAACCACAAAAAGCATTGTATATGTGAAACCATGGATCTCCATTTCATATTGCTTACTTTTTAAAAGTATATAATAAATCCCATGTACAATTTCAAAACCATTCTGCTTGTCTATGCTTCCTGAAACAAACCCCAGTTTTTCAGGGACTCTACCTGGGTCAAACAGACACTCAGTTGAAAAATGTTCCATTAGATTAGAATGGCTAACAGTTTGAAATACCTCTGATCCTCCCAAAATTTTATGGTCTACCTCTAAGTGGTCACAGGTCTTTTATAAAGGGCTTTGAGATCCATATTAAAAGCCAAACTTAGCAAGACTTTTTATCTATAATTTGTCTAAATAGAGACAAGCTATTTCCCCAACAGTGAAATGAGACTATCTTCCCTCTTATCTTAAATCTAAACTTGCATTATCAGGATGTCTAAAAGATAATTTAGAGAATGAGCCACAGGACTGGAATTGCAAAGTAAACAGAACTCTTAAGCACATTAAGAATTTCTACTTTAGAAAAAACAGGAGATAAATGCTAAATTTCTTCATAATTCCCCCAGTCTTTTCTTTTCTTTGGTGGAGAAGTACTAGGTCTCACTATCTCACGCAGGCTGGAAGTGTGGAGGAAGTGCCCTCACGGGCCCAGTTCCAATACTGATTATCTCAGTAGCTTTAACCTGCTCCAACCTGGAATGGTTCATCCTTCCTTAGGCAGGGAGGGTGGTTCTCCACTTTTGGGAGCTCACTATATTGGTACCAGCTTTATAGCCCAGATATACAATTAGCCCATTGTATCTTAGAACGTCTGAAGCAAAGGGACATCCCAGCCTCAGCCTCCCCACAGCAGGGACTACAAATGCATTCCACCACAAAGGGCCCCAGGGTCCTTTCAAAGCAATTTTCAACTGTCCAAAAGAAATCACTTATCTTTGCCAACTCTTGTACTACCTAAATGGATAAAGGGTATTGAAATCCAATCCCTCC